GGGCCTTCTCCTACACCGCTCCTGTTTCCTGGAATATCTTACAAAAAGATTTGAAGCTCTCGACCTTGACCTCTGTTAAGTGGCTTTAAGAATCTGTTGGACTCCTGGCAGGGACCAATGCAGACATGTTCCTGTTTTTAGTTTTCTACATTCACCTTAGAATCTAGCTGTTTTTTGTAACTTTTTTTTTTTGGGCCATCCTATTTGTTTTTTAAAAAAAAAAATCAGTAAGACTTTTTAGAACTGTTTATTCTTGTCGCTGTTGTCAACTGTTGTCATCATTCTTTGTTAAAACCAGGTCTGTCTCTCTTGTAAATGAGTCCTCGAGGCTCAATGGGATTTACCTGTCTAAATAAAGGTTGAATGAATTAATGAAAATTCCAGGGTCCAGAGCGGGTGACATAGAATCTTATCTGAAACTGCTGACTAAGGCTAAGGCTAAATATGGTAAGATTGTTATTCAAGTCGGCAGTAATGGCACCTGGTTACACCAATCGGAGATCACTAAAATTAATGTTGCTTCGATGTGTGACTTGCTAAAACCATGTCGGACTCCGTAGTTTTCTCCGGCCCCCTCCCCAGCTTGACCAGCGATGACATGTTCAGCCGTATGTCGTCGTTTAACCACTGGGTGTCCAAGTGGTGTTCTGACAACGACGTGGGCTACATAGATAACTGGAGTTCTTTCTGGGGAAAACTTGGTCTGATGTGGAGAGATGGCATCCATCCCACTTTGGCCGGAGCTGCTCTTCTTTCTAGAAATATGGCTGATTTTGTTTATCCCCCAAATTAATGACAACCCAGGGTCCAGTCCAGGAAGCAGAGTTGTAGTCCTCCACACCTCTCTGCTGCTTCTCCTCTGTTACCCACCCACACCCCCAATTGAAACAGTGTCAACTTGCCCATGGCTCAAATTAAATAAACCAAAAATCAGCTCTAAAAATATAAACCAAAAAATCTGATTAAAATAAACACAATTACTTTACCAGAGCAAAATCATAAAATCATTAATTGTGGATTACTGAACATCAGATCTCTTTCCTATAAGATCGTTTTCACACCAGATAGTCCGGTAGACTCGGTTCGGTTCAGGACCAATATTTATGACCTTTTGTTTACATTTGAGCTGGTGAGTTTGCATTCACACTGCACCGTGCAGTCAAGTCAACCTTTTGAACCAACCTATTCCCCCGCTCGCCTGTGGGAGCGCTGCACCAAGAACTACTGAAAGAAACAACACAAAAACCTCTGAAGACACGTCTTCTTCTTCTTTTGTAAATAAAAATAAAATGAAGTGGCATCAAGTTTTAGCAGTTTTAGGAGTTATATTTTGTCATTTTTCAAAAATGGACTTAGCATGAGCAGAAGATGAGACAGAAGACCATGGAGAATATTGTTTTTCCACACAAGGCAGCTGACGGCTCCATATAAAGTAAAAGAAATGTGTGTTTGTTTACCCTGCGGAGCGGGTCCGGTCTGTTTACATTCACACTGCACTCGAACCGCGCTGGAGTTCGCTTTTACCGGCCCGAGACCTAGGTTTTAGCCCGGGCCAGATTTCGCCTTTTTGTTCCGTGACAGAGTTCGATGGTGCGTTCACACCTCCCTAAACGAACCGGACTTTCTAGGAAAACGAGCTAGAGTTCGATTAAAGAGGACTAAACAGGGCTGGTGTGAATGCACCCTAAATCCCTGTTAGTTAATGAACTGATAACTGATCATCATATTGATTAATTCTGTCTGACAGAAACTTGGCTACAACAGGAGGATTTTGTTAGTATAAATGAATCCACTCCTGTTAATTATTTAAATTTTCATGTTCTTAGAACAATTGGCCGAGGTGGAGGAGTAGCTTCTATTTTTCAGTCAGGATCTCTACACTGTCTTTTTATATTTGTAAATATTTCTGTCCTTAACATGTGCCTTAATTTTTTGTCTTTCTTCCAATAGAAAGTACATCTGGACCTGCTATGTTTGTTTCTACATCGCGTCCTTGCAAACCCAGTTGGTCGAAGCAGATGGCTGCTCGTCCTGAGCCTGGTTCTGCTGGAGGTGTCTTCTTGTTAACAGGGAGTGTTTTCCTTTCCACTGTCTCCTTTGTGCTTGCTCAGAACAGGAGACTGTGACAAAGTGATTAAACACAATCTGCTGCATCCTGAGATAGATAACTTTTACTGATTGGCTGTTATAATGTATGTGAATGTTTCTGTACAGTGCCCTGAGACGACTTCTGTTGTGAGGTGGTGCTTTAGAAATAAACTGATTTAAACTGAATGTTCAATACTTCCCCCTCTACTGGTGACGAGGAAATATTGGGTATCTTTCAAGCAATCTTAAGGCTGATCACTGTTTGCCTTCGGGATCTAAGTTTGGTTTACAGATTAAGAGGTTCAATAAAGGCCAATTATGTCATGAAGGAATGCATATCCCCTGCAGCCTTTCAAGCCAGTGTTTTAAACAATTTTTATCTTATGATGAATAACTCCACCCAGAAAGGAGGCAGGATTCGATCCAACGACCTTCTCACTGAGAAGCAACAGCTCTACCAAGTAAGCCACCATACCACCCTCAAAGGCATTATATTTACAGGATTTCTGCTCATATAATCATTTAATACTATTTATTGTTCATATTTGATCATTTATTAAATTACATTTATCACAGTACATTTACCTCTCATGGTTCTAAATATAGACAAGTTTAGCTCATCCAAACAGCCACAGCATCTTATTGTTGCTAAAACACTGTGTAGAATTGAATTTTGCAGATTTTAATGGGAAACTACACAAACCTGAAACTGACTCACTCACAGAGAGAAACAAAGATACGTCTTTGTTATAACACGGGGCATATAAATATTCCTCTTTTAGTGTTAATATAATTTAATTATAAGAACTAAAGCAGGCAGCACGGTGGCGCAACTGGTAGAGCTGCTGCCTCTCAGCGAGCAGGTCCCTGGTTCAAACCCCGGTCCAGGGG